TCCTTATAAATCAATCTACACATGGGAACAATTGACTGATGTGTTCCTTGCAAAATACTTTCCCGTGTCAAAGAGGCTGAACCACAAAGATAAACACAACAACTTTGTAGCACTACCTGGAGAGTCTCTGAGTAGTTCTTAGAACAGGTTCCCTGCATTAATAAGAGGTGTCCCGAATAACCCTATTGCTGATGAATCATTGAAGGAATACTTCTATCGAGGTTAGGATGACAATAGTAAGGAGGTGCTTGATACTATCGCTGGATGTTCATATGGTGAGTGCACTTTTGAGCAGATCACCGAGAAACTAGAGAAGATTTTTCCCGAAACAATAAAGCTTTGAGTACTAGAAAGTCAGATACTGGGAGAAACACGTTTGCAGTCCAAGCTACAACTAATCAATCTACCGATGATATTCATAAGGAGGTGCTTGATACTATCGCTGGATGTTCATATGCTGAGTGCACTTTTGAGCAGATCACCGAGAAACTAGAGAAGATTTTCCCCGGAACAATAAAGCTTTGAGTACTAGAAAGTCAGATACTGGGAGAAACACATTTGCAGTCCAAGCTACAACTAATCAATCTACCGATGATATTCGTAAGGAGATGGCCCTGATGTGGACCGAACTGGGGTTGGTGTTGAAGCATGTGAGTGGAGGTGCTGAAAAGGTAAATGCGGTCAATTATTTGACTAGAACTCCACCACCGATTGAGGAATGTTACTATGAAGAGGATACGTATATGGTGAATAATAAAACGGGTGGTTTCCAAGCCAACGCCCAAGGTTCCAATATGGATAATTGGTGCCCAGGTCAAGGAAACCTAGGTCGGAACTATGGAGACTACAACCGAGAGGGTCAATATGTCTGTGAGGGAAACTACAATCGCGACAACAACTACAACCTAAACAATTATGTCAACAAAAATGATCGGGTTGGGCTTTATGTTACTCCTCAAAATTGGGAATCTAATAATAGGGAAGCTGGAAGTAATATGTCACGTATTTAGGATATAATGCAAAAGATGATGAAGAGGTTTGATTCGACTGATGAGAATGTGAAGGAGATGCGAAATGACTTGTCTGGTATTGGTCAAAAGGTTGATGTCTATGCAGTGTCAATCAAGTATCTTGAGTAGTAGATGACCCAGTTGTCTACTATAGTTAACCTACGTCAACCTGGCACACTTCTTAGAAACACTATCCAAAATCCAAACAATGATGGGCATTGTATGACAGTCACTACTCGAGGGGGTAAGCAGACCATTGATCCACCTATGTCGTCTGGGGTTGAAGTTGAGGCTATTAAAAATGATGATGTGATTGAGGTAAATGGAGAGTCAGAGAATGCAACAGAGAAGGAAGTGGAGATAACCCAGAAAGTTGTTCCCATGACTAGACCTCTACATCCTTTCCCATAGAGGTTAGTGAAGAATACTCAAGAAGGCAAATACCGCAGGTTTATTAGTATGTTGAAGCAACTTTCCATCAATGTGTCGTTGATAAAAGCTTTGGAGAAAATGCTTGGGTATGCAAAGTTTATGAAAGACTTGGTAGGTAAGAAGCGGGCCGTGAGTTTTGAAGATGATGATAAATTGCAACATTGTAGTGCTATTGCTACAAGGTCCCTTGTGCAGAAAAAAGAGGATCTTGGTGCCTTCAATATTCCTTGTACCATCGGGTTGCTACATTTTGCAAAGGCGTTGTGCAATTTGGGTGCTAGTATCAATATGATGTCATTATCTATTTACAAGTAGTTGGGTTTAGGGGATCCAAAACCGACTGCGATGCGATTGCTTATGGCCGATAGAACTGTGTAAGAAGCCCAGTTGGAGTGCTCCAAGATGTACTAGTGAAAGTGGAGTCTCTTATCTTTCCAGCAGATTTTATGATACTTGATTGTGATGTTGTCTTTGAGGTCCCCATTATCCTTGGGAGACCATTCCTAGCCACTGGGCGCACCTTGGTTGATATGGAGAAAGGGCAGGTGAAGTTTCGATTGTACAATAAAGAGGCAACCTTCAATATCTCTAGGTCCATGAAGCAGAGTACTGAGCTCAAATCCGTATCTATGGTGACACATATTATAGAGAGTGGTTCTGAGATGTTTATGTAAGAGAGGTTGGGTGTTGATGCACTAGCAGCGGTAATGATGAACTTTGAGGATGATGGTATTGAAAACTATGATGAATTGGTCGCCGCACTTGATAGGTTTGAATTCCGTTACAAACCAAAGATATTAGAGTTAGACATGAAGAATCACAACTCTCCACCAACTAGACCGTCCGTGAATTGGTCGCCGCACTTGATAGGTTTGAATTCCATTACAAACCAAAGATATTGGAGTTAGACATGAAGAATCACAACTCTCCACCAACTAGACCGTCCATTGAAGAGGCTCCAGAATTGGAGGTTAGGGCTCTACCATCACATTTGAGGTATGTATTCTTGGGGAAAGATGGTACTTTACCGGTCATCAATGCGGCAAATTTGAATGTGGCACAAGTTGAGGCATTGGTTTCCGTGTTGAAGAGGTTCAAGCGACCTATTGGGTGGACTATTGCGAACATTATTGGGATTCCTGCTAGTATTTGTTCTCATAAAATTTAACTCATGCCGGATAACAAGCTTAGTATTGAGCACCAGAGAAGACTAAATCCGCCTATGTAAGAGGTTGTTAAGAAGGAAATCATCAAGTGGTTGGATGCTAGAGTTATTTATCCCATTGCAGATAGTAGGTGGGTGTATCATGTTCACTGTCTGCCCAAGAAATGTGGGATTATTGTGGTACCTAATGAGAGAAATGAGCTTGTTCCGATGCGGCCTGTGACTGGATAGAGAGTCTGCATGGACTACTGAAAATTAAATCCTTGGAAGGAAAAAGACCACTTTCCTATCTCCTTCATGGATCAGATGTTGGACCGACTTGCGGCTAAGGGTTGGTATTGTTTCCTTGATTGTTATTCAGGTAACAATCAGATTTCTATAGCTCCGGAAGACCATGAGAAGACCACCTTCACTAGCCCTTATAGGACTCGCCTTCAAACGGATGCCATTTCTATTGTGTAGTGCTCCGGCTAAGGGTTGGTATTGTTTCCTTGATTGTTATTCAGATAATAATCAGATTTCTATAGCTCCGGAAAACCATGAGAAGACCACCTTCACTAGCCCTTATAGGACTCGCCTTCAAACGGATGCCATTTCTGTTGTGTAGTGCTCTAGCGACCTTCCAGCGTTGTATGATGTCGATTTTCTCTGACATGGTGGAGGAAATTATTGAGGTATTTATGGATGATTTCTCTATGGTAGGTTACTCTTTTGCTAGTTGTCTGGATCATTTGGCCGGAGGTGCTTAAACGGTGTGAAGACTGCAACTTGGCGCTTAATTGGGAGAAGTGTCATTTCATGGTGAAAGAAGGTATAGTGTTGGGTCATCGAATTTCAGAGAAAGGTATTGAGGTTGATAGAGCTAAAGTTGAGGTAATAGAAAAGCTTCCACCACCTATCTCTGTTAAAGGTGTTAGAAGTTTTCTTGGGCATGCACGTTTCTATAGGAGGTTCATCAAGGATTTCTCCGAAATTGCACATACATTGTGCAAACTGCTCGAAAAGGATTATAAGTTTGATTTTGATGATGCTTGTCTGAGAGCATTTGGAGAGTTGAAGGAGAAGTTGGTTACTTCACCTATCCTTATTGCACCGTATTCGGGACAACCGTTTGAGGTAATGTGTGATGCGAGTGGAGTGGCGCTTGGTGTGGTATTTGGAAATACGCGAGAGAAGATTCTTCATCCTATTTACTAGCTAGAAAAGCTCTAAATGTGGCTCAAAAGACCTATACAGTGACTGAACAAGATCTTCCTGCGGTGGTTTTTGCATTCGAGAAATTTTGATCCTACTTGCTTGGTACTATGGTCATAGTGCATACTGACCATTCTACATTGATGTATTTGATGGCTAAGAAGGATGAAAAACCGAGGTTGATTAGATGGGTGTTGTTGTTGCAAGAGTTCGACTTCGTGGTGAAAGATAGAAAGGTGACAAAAAATCAGGGTTGCCGATCACTTGTCCAGGTTCGAGGAAGAAGCTATGCTCAAGCTTGGTGACAGGGCTGAAATTAATGATGCTTTTACAGATGAACATGTATCGGCTGCCTCATGATCTGATTCCTTGTTTCACATACTTTGCTCTCTATTTGGCAAGTGATCTGGTGCCATTGGATTTGTCTTTTCACCAAAGGAAAAAGTTTATGCATCATGTGAAGTTCTTTTGGGATGAGCCTTAGTTGTATAATAGTTGTGCTGATGGGATTATTCATCGTTGTATGCTCGAGGTCGAGATGTTGAGTATACTAGAGGTGTGCCATGCATCGCCTTGGTATGGGCATCATACTGGTATTCGGACTGCGCATAAAAAATTTCATGTGGGTATTACTGGCCTACCATCCACCAAGATGCTCATGATTTCGCCACGTCTTGTGACCGTTGCCAAAGAGAAGGAGGAATTTCAAAGAGGCAAGAGCTTCCTATGAATCCTATATTAGTGAATGAATTGTTTGATGGATGGGGTGTTCATTTTATGGGTCGATTTGTGAGTTACACATGGGATGAAGTATATTCTTGTTGTGGTTGACTATGTGTCGAAATGGGTGGAACCAATTGTGCTTCCCAACAATGAAGGTAAAAGTGTCAGTGCATTCTTGAAAATAATTTATTTTCCAGATTTGGTACACCTAGGGCGATTATCAGCGATGGAGGTTCCCACTTTTGTAATAAGTTGTTTGAGAAATATGGCGTCCGCA